ACTTCCGTGGAACCGTTTGGCGTGGAAGGTCGTTCGAACCGCGAGAAGGAAACATGTGATGCTGTGCATGGCTGTTTAGACGAAAGGGTTACTAAGATGCTGGGTTGGGGCCGTGGTGGAACTTCTGGCTGTTTTGGAAGTGATGGGCACCTACGGGCACTATGTGCCTCTGCTTCGAGGGAGGATCCCTTTTTGGGGTTTGTTCCGGGGTCCATCGATCCGGACGGGTTAGACTTAGCACTCTCAGCACTCTCAGCCAAAGGGTCAACATGTCTCTTGTCAAAACAAGCCATTGCCATTCCCATGTACTAGGAGCAAGGACGCTACTAGGGGCTCCTGTATGCTTGAGAAACACACATCTGCCCAGAAGAAACATCGATCCAATACGATTTCTCAGGCAAGCTTGCCTACCATAAGCTGTGGTAGCCACGGATAGAAGCCACACACTGTGTATATGCCTATATATGTTTTACATATATGTGTGTATATATATAATACATACATATACATTACATGCGTACTGTACATATAATATATATTCATATAATATTATGATATATTATGCAATTAACATATATGCCTACCCAGCATACAAGCCATGGACATATATTGGGCTGCTCCCATGATCCAATCGCACTGTGCTCCGTCGGGACGACTCCATCCACACAAACTCGACCGCACATCGGCCATTGGAAAGAGGCGGCAGCACTATACCTAATGTTGACCGGTAGACACTTGTTGGAGCCATCCGAAACCATTTGACAAAATAGTAATCTATTTGGAGCCCTGGATGGAAGAATATGGAAACATATTGAATATTCACTTCAAACATCTTCAAACGTGTCAAGCAACCTTCACGCGGATGTGCTCCCCACCCTTTGCGGCTCCTACTGGGTGAGGCGTTGGCAGCATTGGCGCAGCAGACTCGGCAATGCAGTCAACCGTGGCACAGTCCGCTTGGGAGGATTGCACGTGGGCCGGTGTTCCGCGTCTATATCCACGTGCACTCCCTGAAAGAATCGTGGAGGTCGTTGGCATGGCCAATTGGATCATTTTCCATCATTTTCCCCAAAAGCAGGCCAGGTGGTAGTTTCCAAACGATTTAAGCGACTTGGAGTGCAAAAAGGACGTCCTGTGGTGGCCAGACCTGTCGGGTCCAAGCCTTTCTTGGAATCGACCGGCGAAATATGTCGGCGACGGGTCACCACCAATTTCGGGGGCCTGTGGGTGCTCCACTTGACATTTCTGGGTGCCCTATTTGGGGTCAACTAGAGCCCCTGAATAGTCGGTTCTACAGATTGTGACCCTTGTATTATCTTGTACTATTGTTCAACAGACTATACAACCCAGCTTCACGATCATTTGCTTTTTGTGGCATGACACGTTCAGCTGTGCATGGTTTCAAGCATTCACAATTCACGACTTGCAAGATGTGGGATTGCGCATGGACTTGGACACTTGTCCGGTGTTAAATGCAATGATCTTGCACCAATCAAGTAGACTCGTGTAGACGCACCGCGACCAAGCGGTCCATAGGAGTCCATCCAGCTTTCCTCTGACCTCTTCCGGAAAGTCATCCATTATTGTCATTATATCGCAGTACCAGTATTTATATATATATATATTATATTGGCCCTTGGCCAAGTTGCTCTTAACACCTTGCCAGAAGGTAGTAGTAATTACGAGGTAAGCCATGTCCAACAACCAACCGTGTTCGAGAAAGCCAGCACCTGCACTGGTTCCCAGAACTTTGGCCAAACTTTGGTGGCTGTAGCAAAGTGTAGAGGATTCCCAGGTTCAGCCTCTGCAAGGTGGGTTTGCTGAGATCTTCAGTGCTTTCACTTGCCAGTTGCGATTGTCTTTTTCCATCTCCATGATGCCGTCCACGCGTCTCTTTGGTGGCACCACGCGTCTCTTCGCGGCGCATCAACCGACGAAGCCCCCGTCACCGGCGAAGCCCGCGAGAAGTCGGGCGGTCTCCATGCCGCCGACTCGGCCGGGGGGAAGAAGGCCCAGGAGCTCCGACCGGTGACAAGCTGAAGCTGAGCCTCAAGTGGTTTGAAGCCTCACGCGTGTGACAGGCAGTGACACAACCGGTCTACCCACGGTCGACCGGTAGATCCTTGAGGATTTGAAGAACTATGGGATGTTTAATGGGTTGAATTTCTGAACAACCATGGGTTTTACTAAGAATGTTAGCCTACAACACCCAGGTCCAACACTCAGGTCAACCTTTCTTTTAAAATCTTGTAATGGTCGTTCAAGGCTAGGGGATGACTGAGATCGAGGCATCTTCGGGGGATGGCTGGACTGAACCGCGGTCCCATTAAAGAAAAACACGCATGCCGTGTGGGACACAACGGAGAAACTACAACCCATGCATTTCCGTTTGGAGTTTCTGGCATTAAATCTCCAGAAGTCCTGATGAATAGCCAGCACAAAAGCTGATGCATGCAGCTGACAGTCCAAAAAATCGTTCTCCATGTGAATGCATCAGATTTACCGTTGTGCTCGGTACCATATCGAACAAGTGGCAAAGGTTTACCAACATCGTGTTTGTTACACCATTCTTGGGCTTTGAATGGGAAAGTATGGAGAGAACACTCAGACTTTCCTGTCTTCCTTCAGCATGACAAGCCTGGGCAGCCTGGGGGTTTATTGATTTCCCCAGCTTGGATACCGTCCCCGATCGTGCGTGCGAGATCGTGCGAGCGGCTCGCGATCTGCCTCTACAGAGTTGATGCCTACCTCCGCTTCTTGTTACTAGTAGCGATGCCCTTGTTACTAGTAGCTTCTTGCTCCTAGTAGTAAGGCCAGGAGCCCCTAGTAGCTTATTGCTCCTACTAGCTTCTTGTTACTAGTAGTAAGGATGCTCCTAGTAGTACGGCCAGGAGCCCCTAGTAGCGTCCTTGCGCCTAGTAGCGATGCCAGGAGCCCCTAGTAGCTTCTTGCTCCTAGTAGCTTCTTGTTACGTTCGTAACGATGGCCTTCACCTACTTGCGATGGCCTCCACCTAATAGCGTCTAATTTGGGTTGGAGCAAAACAACACCAAGTCTAATCTTTTTAGATGTCTCCTCTGGAGGCGCAAAAATGACATTTCATTCACTCGGACTCGGCCTGTTCAAAGAGATGGGCGAACGCAATTGCATCGCCACTGCATCGTCGAAACCTGGCGCAGGTCTTTAGGTCTTCCCGCCCGACCAAACCGCGCGTGAAGAAAAGAAGCGGTGTCCTTTTTTCCAAAGACTGGAGAATGATGGGAAGGCTTTGGACCGGCCATTCAAAATAATAGTATACTATATACTTGGACCCCGTGCAGTTCGTACCCCCAAAACATAGGACGTGCCCACATACAAACAGGTATGACTCTACTCATATTCATTTTCCGAGTTGCTTTGATACTCCAGGTATTTCAAACACACAAAATCACTTAATTGTATGTTGCCGCGTGGCACAAAAGTGACAATGTAAACCAACAAGTGTAGACCAGCAAGTTACTAAACACACTAGTCCAGGTAGACCTGACAACTTGTGAGGTTTGGTTGCAGCACGGTACAAGTACACCCCAGTGTGATATTAGAATTGCAGCCATGTCTTCTTATCTGATTAAACACACAGGTCTCAAAACGGGGCGTTGGCAGCACAGTGTGTCATACACACACACACACCAAGTTAACATGAGTATATGGTGTAAATGCTGACAACAATATGGTGTAAATGCTGACAACAATATAACTGAATAAATCTGCATAGCACATGTCTGTATGTGTGTATATATATATATACAGTTACAGTATAGTTGAGTCTCTATATCATAGCCTTCCAAGACTTTAAAGAAAGGTTGACCTGGTCTTGTAGTCTAAAGTCTTCCATAGGAACCAAAGCAAATGTCCGATATTTACCAAGAGAACATATTAGGTATACTAGATTGCGCCAACAGCCTACCAAGAAGTTGCTCACAGGCTCACAGGCTGCGAAGGACCTTTGTCTTCATTCTCAATCTGCGTGCATGTGTCATGCGCACGATACGTCCGCCCAGATTGAAACAAGGATTCTCCACTTTGCGGGGAACCCTTGGTGGGGAACTAAGAGATTGCTTGAAATTGCTTTGTACAAAATGAGCAGGCTGATGTGCTCAGAACTTGGCGTTTCTCAGCGTTGTGTGGGATTTGTGAGGCCCCAGGGTCATGCTCAACAAGGAAAAGGGCATCCCCCATTCGCCCATTCTTTGTCAAGAGTAGGTTCGATTGCACATGGGCCAAGATCATGTATTCTGGGTGAGCCGAGAAACTCACGATCGTTTTTTCAGAGGCTATTCGCCAAAAATGCACCGCTGCTACACATGACCTCTGTAAAACACTTTGTTCAGCATAGAAGTGTACTTGGTTCATGATGTTGCCGCTCAAGAGAAAAGCATCCATGAACATGCTAGGTTTTGGTCACAGCACGTTGAAAGAATAACGACCTTGGAGAAGTGAACAAGAAGCCCTTTTTGTGGATGAGTGTTTATACCTCCCAGTTTCCAAAAAAAGACTTCAATCGACATAAAGACTAGTGCCAGCCACGCTGAGAAGGGCTAGATTCTACTAGATTCACGGCCGGCAAGGCACCCTTGCCGGCAAAAAAGGAGCAAAAACATAGCGCCAGGCATGGTCCTTTACAAAGCGAAGTCCTTTGTGGCTGGAATGAGAGTACTACCCAGCCCTTCTGAAGCACTTTCACAAAAACTGAGCGATCTGTCTTGATGGATCCTGTTTTCTGTCTGCAAGCGTTCCACCTGCACGGAGTATTAAATATATATATCTATACTAATATATACATATCGTGGTGCTAGCAGTGATACTTATATAATTGGGGCAAGTAAGGTCAAAAGAATGAACAAAGCAAAGACAAGTCAACTATATCTGAATGGTATTTGCCATGTATTTGACTACCTTGGGGTGGTTTGGGGGGTCAATGTATAGGCATGTATTCCATACATGGAGTGTCTGGGAAAAGTTTATTTTCATTTGTCAGAACCTACTTGGTAGCGAGGCATGCCGTGCGCTTTGCCCACACGCAGTGCCGGCTCAGGGGGGCGGCGGTGGTGGTGCATAACCTGGCGGTCCCAGTGGTGGTGACAGCATGCGAATGACCCAACCGTCTTTTTGTGAGAACATACAAACTAAACAAACATAGGACAGTAAACATATGTAAATAATTGTAAACATATGATAGTCACATGATCCGAATCCAACAGCATATGTGCTCAGTGAGATTTGGGTGGAGAAGAACAAAGGTGGAGAACAAACCTTCCCTAAACTTCGGGTTCCAGGAAAAGCTACGGGAAAGGATTGGCTTCAGCCTCCTAATGCAGCCTGTTGATTAATACCACCAGCAAAGCCTGGAGATGTAAAGCTAAAATTCTGTATCCGGACACGCTTGATATAAACATATATTGTTAAAATACCCTATATATATGTGTATAGATCTATATTCTTCAATGGTCAGTAGATCTTCCTCTTTCTGAAGCCTTCCAGCTATTTGTTGTCGGATGTCTGGCCGCACGTCTCTCACGTCTCGGCATGCCAGGCATGCCTCGCGATGCGATGCGATGAGGTGTTTCCTGTGAGGTCGGCTCCTCTACATCTCTCCCAAACATCTTAGACATGATCCACGCATATCCATAATGCACAAACACGGCCAAACGCATGCATTTCCTTTTCAACATGTTTCAACCAAACTTTTGAACGCTTGGGACCTCTCTGTCTGGCTCTGGCTGTCCTTTGTCCATGTTCCGTCCTTTTTTCGTGCCCAGCGTTCGTTGGTCCGAATATATGCCGAGTGGAAGGCCCCGCCTGCACCGTAGCCACCCCAGGTCTTGTCGGCCCACTCTTCCTGAGGTTCTGGCGGAGGGTACAAAGCTGCTGAGAGCTTTTGCTCGGTTTTTGATTTGCTACGACAAACTATGAAACACAATCATATGGAATCCTGCCGAACCGCGACCTCCCACATATTAGTTGAAGATTCTTCATGTATATATTGAACATTACTGAACGTCTTTGCAACCACCCTATCAATATGTGCACATGCTGTCCTTGTCAAGGATTCCAAATTTTGACTGAACTCTGTTCATCTATAATTATCTATATATATATATAATCGTTCTCGTTACCTGTGTTCATGCACTTCCTCACATTTGTCAAAATGGTCACATGTTATACATACCTTGTACATCCTGGCAGTGCATGGTTTTCTTCATTCTCTTCCTCCTGAGGTTCCACTACTTTATTGTCTGGATCTTTTTGGCAGGGGTCAGTCCACTGGGTGAGCAGTTCCTGGGTTGTGCCAATGTTCCTTCCGTCGTCAGCAATCAGTCTCTACCACTTCCCTCCACGTCAGGGAGAGCTTCTTGACAAGACCCCCACGGCCCGACACGGGTGGGTGATGGTAGCACGACCGACAGATTTAGATAGCTGGCACACTCTCCCATGGCGGTGGTTTGTCTAGACCACCTATAGTCATCTACAGTCTATAGTGGGTTGAGAGTAGATGGCACAATCCCCAAGTTTGGTGGTTGATATTTAATCTAAAGGAAAAGCATCTTTTGGGGTTGTGGCATCTGAAACCACTGCAGATTTACAGTATGGCCCACCTCCAAGAACATCCCCCCCCGAAGGCTCGTGGACTTGAGCAGACATTTGGGCCGTTGGGCCGTCGAGGATTTCCACTGGACAAGAGTTACATGCAAAAGCATTGGGACAAGCGGTGACAGGGAAAAATACTTGGCATCTTCTAGGGCCTGGGGCCTACAGGGATTTCAAACAGGAACATGGAACAATAGAATGATCAAGTAGCCTGTGTGATTTCTTTATGGCGTTGTTCTGAACTGATGCGAAAGAGGTCCATTCTGGTCAGTCTACCCCAGTCCACTCAAACGGTTTGCAATGCTTTGGCAGCTTTGTCAATGTTTAGTGGGTCTGCTTTCCCAACAAACATCGCAAACCACCTGGAACCCTCCAACGTGAGCTGGGAATGCGCGCTGCTGCATCCTAGTTTTGCATGAAGTGAGACAAAGCTCTTGCGGAGCAGTCAAAGCCCAATGGGTGTGGGCCCCACTCCTACCACACCCTTCGGATATCTCCATCCCAAGATAATTATCAGTAAGATCGGAGTGCCCAGAGTCGGATTTGTCGTCCCACCAGCTTCGCCTCCAATCGTTCTGGTCCTGTGCTGATCTGGTGCTCTTCTTTTTTGCACGATCGGTAGCTTTTGCTGCACCATGCTGGGCGGCGCGATGTCGTGGAGAAGCGACGTGTTTTCCAATGCGGTTCGAAGCGACATCGTCTTCTTGCTGTTTGAAGAGTTTACGATACAAAAGGCGGCAAAGCCGCCACCGAGCGGTTCAAGGATTCCAAGTTTGAGTGGTTTACAATGTGTTCACCAAGCGAAAAACATCTTTCAACATTTTGGATGGTATGCCTTAGTCGCCCTAAGATCTGTTCAGCATTCTCCAGATTCCATCCCCCATACACTCCATGGGACTGGACGCCCAAACCACCCCAAGGTAATCATTCCCTGATCGGGAGTCAAATGGCAGTCGACAGATTGTGTGATCCGTTCTCCGTGCCTCTCCTGGTACCACTGCTCCCACTCTTCATCCGACCACTCCTTCCGGGTCGACCACCACGCTTCCCACTCCTGGCGGGAAGCGTGGCAAGCTGGTTTGTGTCGCGAATTTGTTGGGTCGCCCAGTGGAGAGGAAGTCCAGGAGGAGGCTCCCTTCGTTTCATTTCATAACCGGAGAAGATGATCTTTCTTTACAGGAACATGGAGATCAAATTGATCAATGAGATCAACCTCTCCCCAGCGGACCAGCACCAGGTAGCCGTTTTCGCCAAAATGAACTGTTTGGGTTCCGCAGATTTCCGGGACCAAAACGGTTCAAGGATGTTGAAGGGCTCCCACTGGTCACACCACCGCTGCAAAAACGGCAATTTGTCCGTGCCGTCTCTCCAAAACAGGGCTCTCCATCTCCCGAGCGCGATGGAACGCAGCGCGCCGAGACGACCCCTCGGCTGGCAAGCGGCGGCGTTCGCTCGGCCTGCCGCGTTCGCTTCGCCTTGCCTGGTTGGTCCATTGCTCCCAATCTTTCACGGACCAATTCACCTCGCTCTCACCGATCTTGTCCTCACAGCGCACGAACGCTGCGAGCAAGCGGCGCGCAAGCCGTGCAAGCGTTCGCAGCGGTGTGAAGGGCGGGTTCAGATGCAAAGACTGCAGCAAACGGATTGCCAAAGCGAAGACGAAACCAGAAGTCCCGTGAGATGTGATACAGGACCACCAGCCTTCCAAGATGAGTGAAACTTCTGGGTTGACCTGGTCACTGGTGTTGTAAACCTCCGGCTAAAACAAATGGAAATCATGGGTGTTTGGTGAAACCAACACATCCAACTACTTTGAACAGAACATGCGTATGGCCAAAAGTTCCTTTGGCCACTCCCTGGATATATATATATATCTAACTATGTCAACCAGCAGGGGTCCCGGCGATAAGTATGTGTCAGATTCGGACATGTGACATATATGACTATAGAATACTATAGAATAGTTCCGTTAAAGGGCACAAGCGAACAACAATGCTGCCAATGCTTCAATTCATTTGTCCTGCTTTGCCTTTGCGCAGTGCACAAGCTTTCCGGAATCCATCCAAATTTCATATCAATCATGTGCAGAAGTCACTCAAAGCTTTGCTGTTTGTACTCCTTCACCAGCCCCCTCCCTCTTCCAGCCCTTCCGAAGAAAAACCACCAAAAGAACAACCACCCCCCAGCACCAAATGCGTCCAAAATGCCCAGCCAGGCTTGTACCACTGATCGCTTAAGAGCTCTTGCACCTGCTTGAACTGTTGTCAAACAAATAAAACACACAATGCATGCACCGCCACCGCCATGCGCCGGTGAACTGTTGTCGATGTCCGGCGATGCCGGAGGATCAAAACCACTGGACCAGCACCACCCAAAGGTAGCAACTAGTAGCGTCCGAACGCTCCGTTCGTAGCGATGCCAGGAGCCCCTAGTAGCGTCCTTGTTCCTAGTAGTAAGGCACTTGTTACTAGAAGCGGATGGAAAAGAGATGAACATACACAGCCACAAAGGGTCTACGAAGCCTCCTTTTGGCGATAACAAGACAGTCCAAGACCAGTCGTATAGTCATAGTTCTATAGTCCAATAGTCTTGACTACTATGTCATTGTCAAATTTCAAAGTCTATATACTATAAACCTATGACTTTCTCGTGTTTGATGGAAAACATCATGTATGTTCTGCATGTATTTCCAGGGTACGACGCTTTTGGGAATTTCTGGCTTCTCTATAGGTATGTGCCTGCACCAGGCTATGTCCTGCGCTTTTTGGCCGAGGGAGGACTCACCACCTATCACTTTTAAGCATAGAGCTTAACTAATTCAATTATATAATATATGTATATACAGATATGTTTAAACAAAATCACATGGAAAAACACATGATTGAACCAACCTTCCAGGATTTTAACACTTGAGAGGAGGGGGTGAACGAAAGGTAGCAGGCAATCACAAGTAACCCTGGTAGAAGTCCACGACGGCGTGAACCGGCGCAGGGGGGATTTGATCCAGGGGGGGGGGCCCCGTGGGGGGCCCCCCCCCCCGACGAACAGAATCAACTCTTACAGGACCAAATTCAATGCACAATCCCAACTCCTGATTGTAATACATTTTTGCTAAAGCAAGGAGAACTCAGGTAGCTCAAGCTACCTTTCGTGATTTGGAGCTTGGCCTCTGGGCTGCGCTTCAGGCCTCAGCCGAAGGGTTTGGCAAGAGTCCCTACTATAGGTCCTCCATTTCCAATGAAACGTGTTACATTGAAGAGGAGTGAAGAACCAGGAGTTAGGAGTTACGAGTAGGTGGTTTGCTTCATCCCATCGAATGGATGTTCTGGGGACCCCGAAGTCCAATAGGTAGTTATGTATTCCAGAACTGAACTAACGACTCCCGTTGAGGTAGCAACTGCACGTTGAGCTTCCACAAGGTCCACGGCTTGGATTTTCGGGGTTCAGCCACTATTCCTGATCCGTCTTGAGGGTCTCCCCTAAGTTCAGGGTCTTGAGCATCAAAAGCAATACATTTGACAGGAAGTTTAGCTAGGACACAAGTGGATCACTGTGGGTCATGAGATTTTATGAGTCCAATAATCACATTTAGCAGCGGCCAAATCTCCATTCAATTGAAGAGCACTTGCGCTTCAGCTGTCGTGCTCCCTCTCTCTCTCTCTTCTTTCTCAGCCGTTGAAGACGCATCTAAATTTGCCATCTCTTCATCCCATGGAACTGTACCGTACCAACTGCTATCTGGCTGTTTTGCACCTGCTATACCACGCCGTGGAAGGTAATAGGGGACCAAATCCAACTTCCTTTGAAGGCAGTTCTATAGACCCGCCAAACCCTACTCAGCGTTCCGTTGGGAACTCTTCCGCTACTTCTCACCGCGTTCCGACCCCGAGTTGTGGATCGCTCTTGAGCTGAAGATCCAAAGATGTAGTCGATCCAGGAATGGTACCTCTTCGCCGTCCAGGAGCTGCTACGCCGTCGTCCCATCGTCGCATATCGTCGCACGAGTGTGTCTTTTTCCCGGGACGGTGCAGGAAAGAGGGATTTGCTGAACAACACTCCGGACAAGATCAATCCTGGAAGGTGAAGAATGTGAAGACCAACTGTTTGTAGGGGCAACATGGTCATCTTCTCCGGGCCATGCACTTCCATGAACCGTTTAAAGGAGTGTGCCAGTTTTAAAAGAGCTGTTTTCAGACTCATCCACTGAGTGGATGTTCTCGGCATCCAAGAATACTCTCCAAGAATCACCCCAACACGGATTTGTTCTCATATCTAACTGCAGCCGAAGGAAGAGAAACAAAGGTAACGGAGCGTATCCAGATTGGACAAATATCAGCTATTCTAAAGCATGGTTCAGCAGTTGCAACTTCAAAGTCACACATACATACAGTTTACAGTTGAACATACAGTCATACAGAACCTCTAGCTGCTACAAGTACAGCAATGCTTCAAATTACATCCAGAAATCATCTGGAAAAAACTAAAACCAACAACTAAGACTTCCAAATTCATTATTTTGTTACCTCTCCCCCCTGTTCTGATCCCATGCTCCAAATCGGCGCACTCCAGCATCCTTGTGAGCGCATCCACAATGCCGGCAGCATCCACATCGCCAGTCTCTTGGGCGAAGTGCAACATCCCCTGCAGCCAACTGTTTCGCGACTGGCAGCGGCATCCCAAAGAACGGGTGCTGGCTGCCAATCTATACATACACTCTGTCCACATATATATATATAGTCCACATATATATATATGGTCTATGGTGTATATATACATATACATCCCACCGGGCTCGTTTCCGCGCGTGCGGTTGAAGACATTTGTCAAATCTTCACGTGGTCAATGATGACGAATGTCCGTTGTGTGACTGTGCTTTGCATTGATGTGAAAGGCTTGTTGCAGCATGTAGTACATGAAAACAACTCAAAAATCGTTGCGATTTTGACATCGAAGTGCTACGAAACTGTGGTTTCGTGCCAAAAAGAGGCGCGCTTCTTCATCCTCCAGCATCATCATCACAGTCTGTGGGACAACTTCTGACCCAGCTTCGTCAGAAGATCGTCTTTATTCTGGTGGTGGGGACCGGCTCCTTACACAAACGCCACATACCATCAATTGCACCGGTGTGGATGAGCAGCTCTCCTGACGTCAAGCATCTGACAATCCCCCGAACGGAAAAACTTCGGAATAAACAAGCAGTCGGTAACCACCAAGCCAAGTTTCCACGCGTCGACGTCTTAAAAAAAGAACTGACACACCCCAACCACCTGCGCGTACCGACCTGTCTGTGTGTGTGTCTGGCTTTATCTTCGTACGCGCTATGATGCACTGAACATGCAACGTCTTTAAACTTTGGCCCCCTGTGTTTTGTAGGGTCCTAGGTTCCCCTAGGCGTGTCTACGCTATACGTGTGTAGCACCTTTTGTCCGCAGTTACTTGTACATACATTCTCTTCAGTCAGCTGCCGCTTAATTCATTTGGCTCAAGCCCAATACCTGCACTCCATGCCATAGAAAGTGTGCTCGTCGTCGCTCGCACACTTGAACGTGAGAGCGGGACTTGGTGTTTTTGATCAGGTCCAGTGTACTTCACTGCCACATACTGCCCTCACTCCCACCCTCTTCCACAGCGTGTGCGTGTGTGGCTTCCTAATAAACATTCACACCACATGAACATCACTAGCCCCCACCCAACCCCCCCTCCCCCCTAACCCCACCCCCCGTGTCCCCATCTTCCATATTCCAACGCGTGTGTTTGTGTGTGTTCTTGCCCCCCAAAGGACTGTATGAAAAATCAGTTTCACTACACGCGCGGTTTTAAGCCCATTAGCATATACATGTCTATACATATCTAAATACATTAAACATTTCGAGCCTTTGAGGTATAATTTCTTACCTATCACCCATTTCACGGGTTGTGGACAAAGTTTAAGACCGATTGAGGTGCAATGGAGGGGTGTCCTCACAAAGTCGCAGGTCTTCCTATTGAGCTGGGAAATCTTCCAAGTGAGGATAGTGGACCTCTAGATCCTCTAGTGGGCACGATGCCAACCTCCAACGGTAGCCATCCCTTTGGAGCTCCCTAGTGTAAATCAATGTGACGTAATTCCTTAAATCCACCCATCCGGTTCCAAACCGAGGCTGAACGAACAACTCCTGCGCCTCCTGCGATAGAGAAAGCCACAGTATTTCCAGTGCTTGGTGTGAATAGAAACATTGCTTGGTGTCATTCTTCTATGTTGTCTCAACGAAGTCCACAACTGGAACATACTTGGACACGTTGCCTGCAAGTGCTATGTCAGCACTATGAGGCCGATAAAGCTCAGCAGACTCGAGCTCCATCCGCAGTCGCAGGCCCCTGCCTCCAAATGTTCGTCACTCAAACCCTTCCTCAGATCAAACGAAACACTGGGCGACCTGACGCTGCAATATGCTGCATCACCATGGACACGGTTGATATGCAGAATTCACAGACATTAACACGAGCTCCAAGATGAAATCTAGCACTACCGGGTCAGAACATGGGATTTGAGGTTCTCACCGGCAACCTCACATAGAACCTCACATAGCCTGAGAGTTCAGTATGCATCTCCTGCCACCAACTCATGCAGAGTCGTCTCGTCTCCCGATGTTTGGTGGATTCTTTGGTATCTGCAGTTGGTGTGCACTGGTAGCATGTACACCAATGTAGCAACACAACCAGCAACAAAAGGGTGTACCTCAATGCTCAATGTAGTGCAAACCAATGGATATGCCGACTCAACAGCAACGACCGAAAGTCCGAACCGCACGGACTTTTTCTCACTCCATGGCAGCCATGTGAAGGCTAAACAAGGGGCCCCTTCATTGGGCCGAGAGATGACCGGGCATCCGGAACATGAACTCACATGTACCCTCATGTTCGTGACTCTCAAGCTCATGAACTGCATCTCCAAAATTTTCTTTTGAGTTCATGATCCTCTGGCCGATCACCTGCGAGGGTGTGGTCCTCGAAGCTTGTCGCTGCTTCTTGGCCGAAACGATGAAGTTCGGATCGAACTTGAGCTGCCAAGTACGGTGGCGCAAAAAGAAGGTCAGGCTGTCTCTGCAGTCTCCTTTCTTTTTCGTGAGCGCGTCACCTAAGTTCCAGTCGCTCGCAAGCCAAATCAACTTGGTGAGGCAGAATCGAATGGCCTGCTTCAATTGGTATGCCTGTATGGCAGCGCGCATGTTCGACAATCCCAGCAGCGGTGATTCATTCACCATGACCGAGTCGAACCCTCCTTTCGAATCGGTCCCAAGCACACCAGGAACCAACCGGACCTGAGAGTCCGCGAGACTCAGCAAATCCCGGCCCTTGAAGATGGAGCCGGTGCCGTGCATGCCTGCCCATAGCAGTCTGGTTCTATAGACCACATCCTCTGTTTCAACAATCGCCTGCATTTCGGCATCGTTGGTGCCGATCGCCACCCGTTTCAGCTTCCAGCTGCGCCAAGCCACCAAACACATTGGTGTTGGGACGCCCTTGAGAGCGTTAGGGCCTGACAGGAAAACTGTCATGCCTCCCGTCGACCCTCCACGGGGTCTGTTGTTGTGTGCCTGGTCCCCCAGGCCAACCACACACAAATCCGTCCAACGACGAACGCCAGGCAACTTGAAAAACTTCAATGTTGACCCTTCTTTGCGCAGCTCCCGAATCATCTCTTGTAGCTCCTGGGCAATCTGGATCTTGGGATCCGTGGAAAGCTCAGTAATGAGCAAATTGCAGCGAGCAGTGATGAGCGGTTGTGACTGGACCGCCAACCACTGCAAGGCACCAAGTGATGTCCGACAGGCCGCAATCTCCTTGGGAGTCATGGTGGATGATCCGTTGCTGAACCGAGTGGGATGCACATCAACGTCCTGCAACATTTCAATGTAAAACTGTTGATCCACCACAAGACATCTCCCAAACTTAGCGTCCTTCTGCATGGACAAATCTGTACCTGCATGGCGGTAGCTGTTCTGCTTTGCTGTGCCCCAACGATATTGTTTGTCAATGGCTGCTTTTATCTGTGTCCAACGACTGTCCTTGACATCGCCAGCACGGTGAAAATCATCCACATGTCCAGCCATGAAACCGAGGGGTCGCAGCTTGAAGTGCTCAGGATCCGTGACAGGGTTGTAGGCTTCATTGTCCACAAACCAAATCCAGAAACAGGCATCGCCCTGAATGGACACAGCTCCCAAGTCACGGAGGCTCTTGTCAACATTCTCCCACAGGTTCCTAGGAGCCGTGGTGCTTCCGTAGAAGTTCTTCAAAATGCGCATCACACCATGCTCGGGAATCTGGAGAGCGTCCCTGAGCTCCTTGACACGGTTGTCCACAGGCGCTTGGACTCTTCAGTGGGGAGTGTTTGCAAAAAGGCGGTGCTCATGTCAATGCCTTCAATGTCCCAACCCTCTTCCATCACCAGCTGATAATGCGAGTGAGAACTGCTTGCCCAGGCCGACCTTGGTGAGGAAATCCATACCGACAAGAATTGGGACCAGCATATAGTCTTTGAAGGACTTCTGGTAATACTCCGTGGGATTCGGCAGGGCAAACACCTCAAAGGACTCGTTGGGGTTCGTGGAGGCGCTGATGGAGGCAAAGTACATGGCCTGTCCCCAACGACCTGAACCATACCTGAAAAAGGGTCTTCGTTCCACATCGATGGTGACCTTCAACTGTGGATCACTTTCACGCAGCTTGGCGATCAACTTTTTGACAGAAGCTTCAGGTCCAGCCGAGGCCGTAGCCCCGCAATCCAACATGCCAAATCCTTCAGGGATGGCTCGAGGAGCTGGAGTCTCATTGGAGGTGTAGAGCTCCAAAGGAACTGCTTCCATCGTCTCATGGAACTCAAGCGTGTGGAGCTCCATCATGCTAAAATCCATCCCACCATAGTCCATGCCGTAGACATTGACGGTGGAACGAAGCTTTCCGCCCTTGCCAGCATTCTTGTTCTTGCCCTTCTGGGTGTACATCACATCCCAAGGCGCCATGTAGGAATCCTCCCATGAGGACATCATTTGATCCTTCCCTTTTCGCATGCCTTTCCCCTTGCCCTTGAAGAGGTAGGCGTCCAGCTCAGCTGGACTCAACTGCTTTCCACCACCCTTGCGGTACTGTGGATGTTGACGGTCAGGACAATCACGAGCAAAATGAGGACCTGAACAAATGTGACAACGGATGGATCCCTTGCCACCTTTTGAGGATGAGGTTCCAGCAAACTGTCCAAAACCACGGTCACGTCGAAGGGCTGTTGTAGCCTGCTGAGCTTGCGACCAGGTTCGACGAGCTTCAACTGCTAAGGCCTCTGCGGCCTTCTCAGCCTCCAAAGCTTCTTGGAGTTCAGGATCATCATCAGTGGTTGCAGTGTTATCCACTGGGTCGTTGACAGCTTGAGGCCATGCCCCAAATTGGTCCATGGAGTGCCAATCCGACTCATGCCAATCCTCAGTATCCCACGAGGACTCGTGCCACGCAGCATTGTACCAAGGATCTGCGGTCTCAACCCAATGTTGTTGCAACACTGTACCTTTGGATGCTCCATGATGATGATTGAGCTGTTCATCCCATAGGGTCTGAAGAGCCTCAGCGATGGCCGGGTAGTCGAGCTTGTTGCCAGTGCTAGCTAGGATGTCTCTCCATTCATCATTTGTAAGGCTTGCTGCAACAAGTAGTCTCCAGCCACGCAAAACATCTAATATAAAAGAATCCATAGGACCCAAACCATCAATCATCCTCTGTTGCTCTGTCTTGCGGGAAGGGCTCCTTTGTGTTTGACGAGTCCGGTTTGGCGACCCCGCCGGTGAGTGAGGAGCTGCTTCCTCACCTGCGTCGGATGTTTGGGGAACTGCTGCATAACCCTCGGGGGCATCAACTGTTTGCTCAACCTGCTCTTCAAAAGGGGTTTCCTCCCAATCACGCCAGCGTTGATCTCGATGCCAAGGGTTGTAATAGCGTTCACCTTTGTCTGAGGTCTCGGAGGTGGTGATCTCAGGCAACTCAAACAAACGATCTGCAGGGGAGATTCCGTCTTTCTCCTCTTTGAGTTGTAGCAAGGCCTCCTGGAATTCCTCAAAACCTAATGTTTCCCTCACAAGGAATTGTGCAATGCTTTCTCCAGGCCGTCGTTGGAACATGAAATAGGATGACATCGTCGCAGCCGCATTGGGAAGGCTACGCCTCACCAAAGGGGAGGAGGCGAAACGCCTCAACATGACTTGAACTCCTTCTTCACCTTCAAAATCCCTTTGGTGCCAGGACATGGAAAGGAGGCGAGCAGCACCCGACAACCGACTAATCAGTTTGGCAGCGACGTACTTCCGTTGGGAACTCTTCGTTCCAGAAAGATACCATCCAACTTCTTTGCAATAGCGGCGCCAAGTCTTCGAGGAACCATCCCAGCTAGGCACCTCATTCAACCGATCCTTGACGTCCGCCATGCCCCGGAGCTAACTCTGCTCCGCTACCAGTGCAGTTGGTGTGCACTGGTAGCATGTACACCAATGTAGCAACACAACCAGCAACAAAAGGGTGTACCTCAATGCTCAATGTAGTGCAAACCAATGGATATGCCGACTCAACAGCAACGACCGAAAGTCCGAACCGCACGGACTTTTTCTCACTCCATGGCAGCCATGTGAAGGCTAAACAAGGGGCCCCTTCATTGGGCCGAGAGATGACCGGGCATCCGGAACATGAACTCACATGTACCCTCATGTTCGTGACTCTCAAGCTCATGAACTGCAGTATCCAACTGTCTCCAAGGTTGAATGAGCTGGAGTCCGAGCAGCTGGAGCATATAGTATATGTAAAGCTAGTAAAGAGCCAAGGAGCAAGTCATTCAGACAGGGGGTATGTGTACAAACTTGTCACTATAGTATGCATATACTGTACATGTTTGAAGACATTCAATCACTGAGATTCAGGTATCCGAGCTATCTAAAGACGGCACAGGTTTATCCACGAAAGCATGTCAACCTCAACAACACCATCCTGGTCATCGCTTTGGTCACACCAGTCACACCGCTTTCTATTGGCTGCATGGGCGTTTGGCAACTTCCCTCCAAGCTCGTGGTGCAAAGGGACCAAAGGATTTCAGGATCATGCAACCATTTTTCTGATGTCTCTCAGACTTCATTGCAGGGCAGCTACAAACAACAGCCGTTATTTGAACGCCAGAGCAAAAACTACATGTCTCTTAGCATTCATCTGTAGGGACCCCCAACATCACCATCACATGAGTCGATAGCATCATGGCATCCTGTGCCTTTTGATGCTGTGTAAAAAGCGTAACAAGGACCACCCCGCTGGTCACCACTTCATGTTAAACAAATGTTGCACAGTACTCACCGCGCCCAATGCTTGCTGCCCAGTTGGTAAATCCCAACTTTTACAATGTTTTTGTCCGAGCAAGCAGAACGAGGTTAGTACGGAGCAAGGCTTGACTAAACGAGGTTAGATGTGGTTAGTACGGTCTGCTGAACCTATGTTGTGTCGCCTCTCAAAATATTAATATAAAGCAAGGCTCGAATTCAACCAGACCTTCACTGCTTGTTCGAGATTCTCGACAAACTCCTGCGTTCGACGACGTCAGCAAGTCTGGGCGGGAATCCTGATCGATGGGGCACAAGGAACCCCAGTCAACCTATGGCCAACCGATTTCCAGCAATATGCATGATGACTTGCATGATGTATTATAAACCTCCTGCACCTTTGCCAGGATATGGCAGAATGTGGGCATGTTGTGTATCCGGCTCAAAGGCCGTTTGCATGCGGCAAACACCGCACTGAAGCTTGGAATATGTGAAACCCCAAACGCGCATGGACCCGAATCCTATGGAGGGGTCTTGGGTCTCAAATCCCGGGTTGTGAGGGACCAAGGGCTGTGAGCCTCTGGGGAGAAGACGAGGTCCCGAGACTCGTAAGATGGCCCCGGGTCGCACGAAAGCCGGTCCTGATGGAGCTTCGTGTAGACAAACAAGTGAGTCTCTTGACCATCCCTGAAGAAGTGCCCATAGTGGGCCAAGAAATGCCCTTGGACGGGCTTGAAGCCATGAAGGAAAGGAAGCAATATACGGACCGGTGTGCTAAGATCTTCTGATTCGGATTAAGCCACTACGGCGCCGTCATCGAAGATTTGGGGATGACGAAGAACGCTACTAATAGCTAAGTGCATCGCTACTAGTAACAAGGTGCATCGCTACAACAAGTAGCAAGGACGCTACTAGTAGCTAGAAAAATACATCTGAATTGTCTTCTTCGCGGGAGTTTCTCACTAAACATGTTCCTCTTCATATTCAATACAGTCGACCACTATGACACAAACAAACAAAAACAAAGAGTTGGTTTTCGGCCGGAACTTGGATGGTTTGTGGAAAGTCGGGAACATCTTGTTCTCCATTGTTTTCCTCATGTTTCCTATAATATGCAACCTGATGAGATCCGATTGGGCTGACCTGCCCGTCCGTGCAAATGGCTTGGATCATCTTGGATCGCTATTCGGAACCAAACCTTTCGACCTGGGAGAATCATGGGGTTTGTGACAAGTCTGTGGATGGGTTCCCATGGCCCTGGTGGTGCACTTCACTTCCCCATGTCATCACAAAACAAAGAATCATCCGCAGCTGGAAAAATCGGGATGAGCACCTCCAGTTTTCCGGGTAGACCAGCATTCCGTCAAGGAATCCACGCCCGGTCAAAAAACCCAATGGCCCATTCCCAAAGCCATCTGAGTCGCTCAAGTAGTGGCCAAAGCCATCTGAGTCCTCAGGACGCTTCAGGAATGGCAAAGTCTCCCGAAACTCATTTGGATCGATGGAACTTCTTCCCTCCAAAGCGGGTGGCGGGGCCGAATTCCATCCTATCCCGAGTCAGGACAGGACAGGACAGAAGTTGAAGTTGAAAGCAAAGAGTCACTTTTCAGGAAAGGAACTTGAACATGCTTGAACACAAAACCAACGACACCGCCATCGAAAGCGGCGACAGGAATTCTGAGGGGACTTCTCATGTTATCTCACGTCCACCAGGCAGTTCCCAAGTCTTCTATCCACGCACATGCACCACCTATCACCGACCGGTCAGTGTCAACTGGGGCTGCGCTGGTGGCGGGCAAACATGACAAATGGGAATCAAAATACAGTAAGATCACCTAAAAGGTAGGTACCGGGGTGTACCATACATATACATATATATATATTTATATTAAACAACTGGCTGAACTGGGGTCAATGTATGCCTTTCAGTCCCATAGACTCCCTAAAATAGTCTGTAAAAGCTTTGAGATTATATTGAACACATGAAGAAACACTGCGCGCACATACAGGAATTCTGATCTTGTGACACTTCAGGATGTAGAGTCAAAGTTCAAATAATATCTCAAAAATACTACCCAGTAACATGGAAGTGGACAACCATCTGTTTAGATTTGTAGCGGAAAATGGTCATATTGCATGATTGTTCCAGGAGTGTAGTCTGCCAAGAGTCCACATACCAGGTCTTGAACTCGTCCAGCAACGGTTGCCACGACATCTCCCCGGCGTGACCGTTTCGAATGGTTTCGAGAGGTTGCGAGTTCTTCTGCAAAGCAGGGCACCAATTTGATGTCATCTGTTGAACATCGGCCACTCATTATTTTGCAGCCGGTATATGCAGTGTTTTGTAGCTCAAACTTCGTTGCTTTGTGATGCTTTGTGTGTTGCCTTGATCGAGACCATCAACCCACTGATCGAGTCAAATAGAACTCCTCGAATCGCCGTCCATACTCGGAAGACAACAGGGACACAGAGTTGGCTTATATAGGAAGCATTGTTCTACATACATCGGTCTTTGGAATAAACAAACCAAGCATGGCCAGGATCCACTTCTCACTACTTGTCAGGGCTCGGCAAGCCCCATACCACACGAACGCAACCTCAGGAGATCATGACACAAACGCAACAGGTCACAACAAGTAACACCTACTCCTTCTGTAAACGTCACCAAACCCAGCGATGCATGTTGCAATCTGCAGGAATCTGCAGGGATGTGGCTGAACATAGTGCAAACTCAGCTGATATTTGGTGAATTCACCACGTGTTCATCAACAGCCTGCAACTTGCCCTGAGCCAGCAGAAAGCGCCCAACTCCAACTCCAACTGCCCCACTGGCCCCGGCGAGCAAGCAGTTGTGGTGTGTCAGCACCCAGGGAATCGGGTGAACATAAAGCCCCCCGGTATACCACGTATTGACCCTCCAATCGCCATCCAAACTGGGTGCTGGTTTTGTCGGGCACCTTCACTGGACCGGGGGCGAAAGCGATGTGTTGCGGCAGCGGCAGCGAAAGAAACAACCTGACCCATGTTTGATAAACAAAGTGTCTTGAACAGATATGAAAAGAACCTGGCGGAACATGGAGGCAGCAGAATCCCATGTTGATGATGATGATGATGATGATGGATGATGATGATGATGTCTGAAATGGTCTGAGGTAAGTGTGGTTCCATTCGTTTTCAAATGAAAACAGCTAGACTCTACACATCTCATTCCTGAAACGATGCAAACTAATTCATGAGTCATCGGAACTCCCCAAATATGCCCAGTGACCACGGAAGGGTGGACTCCGGAAGAGATATGAAACGAAAAGCCGATCCCAGTGTCCACTATCAGGAATCAAACACTCTCCTGTATGGACTATAATTGAAAATACATGAAAATACATATATATATATATATTATATTACTATATATGTATATATATATAGAGATATGACTGCATGTGCCTATAATTGCCCATACATTGACCTCCCCAAAGTGCCCCAAACTGATCAGGCAACTATGCTAGTCCCACCGGTCGCGTCTGGGTACAACCCGATCGGGAACACTCATACTTATCATACTTGACTCACACGATTCCTGACCAAGTCATCGCTGGATCAACTGGAGAATCAGCACCCAGACTCTCCAAACAAACGCTCCAAGGTCCCTCAACACCCAGACATTTGAGAACCCACCCTCCAGAGGAGTCGGGTGCGATCCCTTATGAATGAGCGTCTTGGTAATTCAACACCTCCTGTGACATCAATCCTCACGGCGCGGCTCAAAAAACATCTGCAGGGCTGACTCCACCACGAGATCGCGATCCGTCTTCGCGAAGACACGGGCCTGGCGTGGAAACTTGTATCGAGCCATCAGGAGCCCAGGGCCACACCCAAAAAGATCCGTATTGGCATACATTGGGGTGGTTGAACCGGGGTCAGTGTAGGGAAATACGACGTACATGGAGCGTTTGGGTAAAAACATGATGAGAAATTATGAAGACTTTGTATGGTTTTGCTGGACATGTTTCGGTGTACCAAAAGGACATGGTACAAAGCTTCATGAAGCTCCGGACTTGGCCCGCCAATGCCCGGAGCTTATCCTTGGCCCTGGTTCTAGTTTATGTCCCAAACTCTCCATCTGCCTGCCTTGGGGTGACTCTCCCATACCCACTCCGGACTGCCATATGGCTGCCTACAGTGGAACGGTGTCAGGGGTTTAAATGTATATGGCAGTTGCCATGGAGTGAGTGGGAGGGTCTACCGGGGTGATCGGCGGGAACTCCCATCTGACGGCCTTCGCTCGCCCTCGCTCGCGCCGAAGCACGCTCGCGCCCGCGACCGCCGCCTTCGTCACACAACTCACGAGCGTCCGATTGATCTCGTGGAACACCGTGGCCTGTGCAGCTCATTGTGTGATGTCCTGTCCGGTTCCAGCAACTATCCCGCTACTGTAGGCATAAATATTCCACACGTGGACTGCCTGGGCTGGCAACGATCTGGCGCAACGTTCAAGAACTTGGAGACGTACGATGACCCACCCGTCTTCCATCAAAGTACAATAATTTTCAGGGTGAAACATTGAGGTATGTACTGAAGCGAATGGAAGGGATTCGCCACAATTGACCGCCCCTGAGCTTGATCCTCCACAATCCAGGATGGTGCAGGCCATTGAATTTGGTGCAGGTGTGGTAAGGAATATGTACATGGTGCATGTGCACAAAAAAACGTCAGATCCCTACGGGGCAAAGACATGTGCCCACAATGAACACCACCCCCGACATTGATGTCTTGGATAGAAAGCCAACCCGAACTCCAAATGCTCCAAGTTGTGCTATCAGGCACGTGCCCTCACACACTTGCATCCTACTGCCACACTCCAAGCTCAATCCCCCACAAACCTCCCCAAGCGCCGCCGCGAGCCTCGCCTTCATCGCGAATTTTAGGGGCCGAATTTTCGAAAACGAAGCCGAGGCCTGGCGTGGCAAGGA